TTGCAGGTTCTGAAGGAGACGGTCTCAGACAGGACCTGCTGAACAAACACCTTCCTCTGTCATCGTCTGTAGAACACCTGAAACGGCTTGTTGGCACAATATAATTCTAATGATGACCTGAGGCAAGCCAGAGTGGGTGGGGTGGAATTGATGCATCCATCTTTGTGCTCCTTGATCTCTGTGGCTTTCAGCACCATCAGTCAAAGTATCCTTCTAAACCGGCTCCAGGGGTTAGAATTCTATGGTGGTTTTCTTCCTTCCCTCAGGGCTAGTTCCAGTCGGTATTAGTTGTGGTACAAGTTGCTCCCTAGGCCCCTTCTTTGTGGGATGGCTAGATTAGCTCTCCCTCCTATTCAACATCTACTGGTTTGGGGTTCAGTTATATCCTTTGACCCACTTTTGAGCCATCAAAGTGAGGCTGTCAAAATCCTGCCCCAGTACCTGGAGGCTGTCTGGACATGGATGGGGAGGAACTGTCTCCAACTCAATCCTACCAAGACTGAGTGGCTGTGGGTTTGAGGGCCACCTAATTATGGGGATATTCCCTTTGCCTTTGGATAGGGTTGCACTTCCCCCTTCAAAGATGGCCTACCATGTGGGGGTCTTCATGGATTCACACTCCTGCTTAATGAGCAGGTGGCAGCTGTGGCCAGGAAGGCCTTTGCACAGCTCCATCTACCAGGAAGATCCTTCAGGTAGTCACTCATGCCCTAATCACCTGGCTCGGCTACTGCAATGCACTCTAAATGGGGCTGCCCTTGAAGACCACCTGGGAGAGTCAACTGGTCCAGAATGCAATGGCACGGGCAGTCATGGACACACCTCAGTACCCATTACTTAGCACTGGAGCCCTCTATACTCAAGAGCGTAGCCAGGTTATTAAAACAAATGAGATATACAACAACCTGGATAAGTTCAATGTCAGTAATGCAGAATTCCTTTATGTCACCATGCAGGTGAGCACACAGGGCCTGAATAACTGATGACAAGGCCATCTGGGAAAGACTAGCATTGGCTTATTAATCTGTATGGGTTGCTATCTTATCAAGCACGGGTGCAACATATGATGCAGTGATGAGCAGCATATCTTTAGTACATATTAAAGAAGTGAAGCCATAGGTCTAGCACTACAAAGGAAAAGGTGGAGAAAAACACGTTGCAGTTTTCCTAAGCAGAGAAGCTGAACTCGACCAGGTGTTCATCACTGATGTATTTAATACCCACTGAGTCTGAATCACAGAATATTAACAATATGACTCAGGAATACTAACAAGTGTGTTTTCTCCTGAAATGGAAAGAAAAAGAGAATTCAAATGGTTCAAAGAGAAGGAAATGAGTGTTTGAAATGGCCAACATAGTCCTGGTCTGAAATATCCTAACTTCCTGTCTTGCGGTTCTGTTCCATGGAGCAATATTTTCTAGATCTCTTCCCTGGGTAGGGGAAACCAAACTGCCATTCCTGCCCACAAAAGAGGGTCTACATTTGCATAAAATCTGCATATGTGAACAGATGCAAATATAGGCAGAATTGCTAAGAATAAATTATAATTACTGTAATTAACCTTATTATAGTGGGAAGATTATGACTAGACACCATCTGCTCTGTGTTGATGCTTAAATCCTAAATGCTGATGAGCCGCTTCAAGGCCTCTGGGGTCCCATCTTGAAACTGGATTTGGGTGAGCGGCCCTTCAAACAGAGGACTATCTTTGGGTGTCTCCTCTGTAAATGAAGACCTGCATCAACCGGATCCCAACATAACATTCAAGTCTTCTCAAGATCAGGAGCAGGAACCTGTGTGCTACGCGTAGCCTCGAGAATGGAAGGGTCAATTCACGCCTTGTATTTGGCTGGTGTCCGATCGTACTTTAAGTTTCAGAGCCATACCGCAGTTATTTCATACTCTCCCCCCAAGCTGGGCCTTTTTCCTCATGGGGGAGGTTTAAGCTCAACGCCCACTCTTTGAGGCTAAATGCATTTTTTAAAAAACAAGTCAGAGCCAGTTGTTAAGGCACTGGACTGTGACGGAGGACACCCAGATTCAAG